TGTGTGTGTGTGTGTGTGTTTGGTTGTGTGTAAGTGTTCATTATTACTGGTACTTTAAAAAAAACCACATTTATAATTGAAATTTGGAATTATTTTTGCGTTATCTCAGAATCGCCTGGAGGAAAGCTTGAAGCTGTTCAGTCAGATTTGCAACAACAGGTTCTTCATTAACAGTACCATGGTATGTGCGTATGTTTTGAATGTTTGTGCGTATGTGTGTGTGTTTTTGTGTGCGTGTATGTGTGTACGTGTGTTAATGGGTGTGTCTATGTGATAGATTATTTTTTAGTGTGTCAGCATTTGCTAGTGTGTATGTGTGTGTGTGTGTGTGTGTGTGTGTGTGTGTGTGTGTGTGTGTTTATGTGTATGTGTTAGTGATTGTATGTTAATGGGTGTGTGTGTCTGTATGATTTTGTGTTTGTACATTAAAAATATGTGTGTAGTGTGTATGTATTAGTGTGTCTTTTAGTTTATTACATGTTCAGCATTAGCAAGTACTTCTTCGCTGTACGAAGAAAATACGTTATATTTTTTTGTTTGAATAAAAAATGTCGTAAATCTGATCAACAAAAAAAAGGAAAAAAAAAGACCTGAACAATTTTTAACCGTTTACAGTTTTTTTTCCTCACGCTGATAACAAATGTCATTTCCTGTGTTTCAGATCCTATTTTTGAACAAACTGGATCTCTTCCAGGATAAGGTCAGGTATTCCAAGAGACACCTGCGTTATTTCTTTCCAGATTTTCCAGGTGATTATTGCTTACTTTATACATTTTTAAAAAAGAAAACAAAAACATACAAACAAACCAAAAAACACCCCCAAGGACAACAGTAATTGCTCTGTGCAAAATTAGACTTTATACATTTTCTGATTGAGTCTGTTTGGCTTAAGTGTAGAGGTTTGCAGTATTTATTTTAAATGACTGGGACACCTGACACACAGACAGCGTACCTTTCTTTGTTGCAACAAAAACCGTCATTGCAGACCATTAGAGGAAATATCCCCCCCATAGTGGAAAAAAACTGCTTCTATATGCTCTTCGTTGTATCATCTTTGCTTTCTTTCCTTCCTCCTTCTCTATGGTAACCATTGGATCAAGCACTCCAACCTGGAGTTGACTAGTCATACCTAGGATTAGTAGGATATGCCATTTTTCCAAGATCAAAATGGCCTTTTTCCTTTTCCCCCTTCATATTCCTTTTTCTGAAGACTTTACCGCGATTTTTAATCAACCAAAACGACCTTCTCCCTCCACCCTCCACCCCCCACCCCCAAACCCAAAACAGGATGTTCCACATTTTTAGTTAGTTTCCAGTTTTGAAGTTTGCAATGCCCTGCAGGTGGCTCACTTCCCAGATTAGTCTGTCCAACATCAGAGGAACCTCACCAGTCATTTTTCTGCTTTTTACACATAACATTTTCGCCACGCACAGCAACAAGTTTGCTGAATGTGGGATTCTTTCCTTTTGCATATAAAATCGTGTGTCTCATGTTTGATGTAACACCATATAGTAATAGGTCCACCTTGCTGAGGATGGTACTTTGGCAACAAGGAATATACATGTAGCCCTTTCCAGTTTTTTAATTTCAAAAAGAGCATCAACTTTTTATCTATCATAACCATTTTCACCTTATTTTTCAGACAGCTTTCATACTTAAGTCAAGTAGATCCTAACACTCTTGAGTGAATTCACTTTGTTTCTTCCACCCTGTTCGGACAGAAGCATGAAGGCAGGATATGCTCTGCATTTTATTTTCTCTTCTTTTTCTCTGTATTTCACTGCCATCTGTGGTGTAGTGGTTAGGCACTTTGCTGTCGCACACAGGAGACCCAAGTTCGATTCTCAAGTGAGGAGAATTTTTATCAAGTATCTTGGTCTGTCTGCTGGGATGTTGTATCCCTCTCAGCCTGGGTTGGCCGTGACAGACAGAATTGAAAGCCTGCCTCTTAAATGACCTAAATTGTGTTGATGCTTACCTACTTTATCCGTCCTCTTGCACTTTTAGCCATCGAGGGGAGAAAGAGATTTCTGTCTAGCAAGTTGGATGGCCTGGCTCGGTGGAATTTTGTATGGTTGGAATTGTGTCGATGGGGGTGTAAAAACACATAGGCCTATATATATGTTAAAATAAAATTTCCTGTATTTCCTACTAGGCCCAGACAAAGATGTGGACGCTGGTGCCCGGTACATCCAGCACCTGTTCATGATGCAAGTGACCAGTCCGTCCAAGGTGGTCTACCCTCACTTCACCACAGCCACCGATACCACCAATATACAAGTGGTCTTTCAAGTGCTCATGGACTCCATACTCAGAGACAATCTCAAGTCCACCGCGCTCTTATAGCGATGTCAACATCACTTGTGGTGTAGTTATGTCAAAGTCTCTGGTGATATAACAGTGTGAAGGTTTCATGTGTTGTAAGTACAACATGATCACTGATGGAATAGCCATGACGAGAGGTGCTGGAACTTGATACACAACCAGGCTGTATTACTGTGTCAAGGCCACATGTATTAAATGTGTGAAGGTCACTGGTTATATAGCTATGTCAAAGTTACTTGTTGAATAGCAGTGTCAAGGTCACTTGTATTCTTTCTATGATAAGGTCACTCATATATTACCTTGCCAAGAGTTGAGTTGAAGCTTACCATGACAACCAGGTGTTATTGGCAATACCAAGGTCACTTCATGCTGAGAGGCCAGGGAAGGGCAAGAGGTAATGTACACCCTGTCATAACAAGGCCAAGCTTAAACTGACACAAATATAGTGCTTTCCACACTTGGCATACTCCTACCACACATTTCAAGTACATTGGCAGATAGGTGTGGCCATGTTTTCATGGTCTTTCCAGTTTCCAGGGTGTCTTGAGGAGATCAGAGAAGGGGCCAGCAGGCGTGAGCATCTCTTAACTTGAAGTAATGGGCAGTTTTGCCTTGTATGGTCTTTTATTTGGCCTCCATAGATCATCAGGCCAGGTTGTACAAACATAGTTGGTTGCAGCTTGAACTTTTGGGATCAAGGTATCACATTTATATCTGGCCAGTTTGGCAATATTGTAATCAGGTCAAAGTGTGCTGTTATAACAGCGCCGAAGTTGCAATGTTAAAGCAATGTCAAGGTTACAGATATGCCAAGATTACAATGTTCCAGCAAAGCCTAGGTCACAATGTCAAAGGAACACCAAGGCCATGATATTGTAGCAATGTCAAAGCCACAGTGTTGTTCCAATGACGAGGTCATCGTGTTTTGTCTTTGTCAAGATCAGATCAAGGTCATTGTATCATAACTGTTCGAGGGTCACATTGCTGTAGAAGTGCCAAGGTCACAGTGATATACTTACTAGTGTTGAATATTACAATGTTTTTGTAATGCTAAGAATTATACAATGTAATGATTACTGAATAGATAGACAGAGTGTTGTGGATGGCCCACTTGTTCCCCTATCTTGACAATTTGGTAATGGTGTGGGTTTAACTATTACAACAGTGTAAGGTTATTTAAGAGGTGGAAATTCCGTGTTAATCTTCCTTTTCTAATAGGGCAGAGGCAAGTTGGGGATAGCCTTGAAAACTCTCCAAACAACCCATGTCCTGGAAAAGTCCTTTGGGGATTCAAGCCAGGGTCATCTGCAACATAACCCAGAATGATACTGAGATAAGAAGACGCCCTTGTATTTGTCTTCTGTCTGTTCATGTTTGTGTGTGGGGGTGTAAGTACAATGCTTCATGTCAGTGGGCGGAGGCTGTGATTTTTTTGGAAAAGAATTAATTGTGATCGTTATACATGTAGTATCTTTGTAACGAGTGAACAAGTCGGACAATACAGAGTTCTTCAGAAGAGTAGGGAAAGGGTACGACTGAAAGGATGTGGTCATTAATGTCAACAGAAATTTGTTTGTGTTGATTTTAGTTCTCAGTGGACCAAGAAAATATACATGTACGTTTTTTAAATGCTCAGAGAAAAGGAGAAACTCGTTATACCGTATTTGTTACTATGAATGGTATGTCTTATGTAGTTGATGTCTTAAAGTCCATTTCCACTGACATTATATGTGCCCAATGACTTTATCGCTTCAAGCATTTTGCACAATTGTTATGTTAGTTTGTTTGAAAATGTAAAAATAAATATTTATGCACATAGGTAAGTACATTTCAAATGCTTTTAAAGGTCTTTTTTGCATCAAATATATGGGTTTGAAATACTCCACAGACTTTTCTACTGTAAGACTGAGAATGTTTGACATGCATTATGAAGATTTCACACTCCATAGGTAAATGTGTTCAAAGCGTGTCGTGACCTCAGCTCACTAGAGCTTCAGTGAGTTGTTCAAACTGTTTGGCTTTGGATTCCCATTTGCCAATCTCATATCTTGCTCTCTGTCAGTGCCACTGCTTGAGTGTACAGGAATCCATAGATTTAGTGCATGGATGGTAAAATTCGTGATGACAGAACTCTTCTGGCTGTTTTCTTAAAAAGAAAAATGGCTATTTATCGAAGGAGAATGTTGCTTGTCTTATGGAACAGCCTTTTTTTTTGGTTTTTTTTTATGGAGAAATTTTGGGAGTTCTTGTAGAAAGGATTCACATAAATTTCTGCATTTACTCTGTTCATGTATATACAAGTGATTTTGGTTTTAAACTGCTGTAACTTATGGAAATTTTGCCTAACTCGTGGCTTTACTGTCTTGTACTTGTATATAAAAGTACACATGTAAATGACCTAAAAGTCTCTAAGGTAAGCAAAAGTTTTTACTTAGTCAGGCTCTAAGAATATGTACCTGACATAATATTGCTTGCTCAGTATAAGACTCTGTCTTATGTCGCTTTTCATCTTGAAATATAGTGGAGTCTTGCAATAAGCAGTCGATATGCTTGCTATGATATCTATTATTTTACATACGCTAAAAAAACCCAACCAACTTTATCTGATACTCCTTTTAAACTTATGTTGCATTGAAGTGGATAAAAGCTTTTTTTTTAGTACGGATAAAAACTTTTTAAAGTGCATTCTTCCACTACGTTGAGAAAGTGCATGGTTCTGATGTGAGTAGTAGTAGTATAAGGTTTTACGGCGCTCGCAACTGCTAAGGTCATATGAGCGCGCGAAACACAAGTGTAGTATAAGGTTTTACGGCGCTCGCAACTGCTATGTTCTGATGTGATACCTGAGACATTGGTATACTAGTGTCAGAGCGCCAGTGTCATTTACAGAATTCCCTGTGCCTCAGAGGTGGGCCCAGGGGTCAGCACAGTCACTACTTTGCCTCATGAGTACCCAATACGCCACCCAACTGCCCAGTTCTTTCAGTTGCAATATATACATTTCAAGGATGGAATCACTTTCTCAAGGGCAGCATTCCCACGTTCATGAAATTATATTTAGCACGACATTTCTCAATCGTGTAGACACTCATTGTTATATTTTAATGTCCAGCACAACAATACGTTTTTCAGCTCATTCAAACAGCCATTAGTTCAAAGTGCATTAACTCATCTGTTCTATCCATAGACCTGAATTATAATATAGATCAGGCACTGCCATGACAGCTGCTCTTTGTTCCCCATAAAAGCTTTACTATGAAAGTGTGTGCCAAAGTACGATGGGCGCAACCTGAAGGGCAAAACGCTAGCCTCGTGATAGTCGATTGCGCATTCAACGTTTCCCTCCTTGTCCTTCATTTGGTTGGAATAAATAGAGTCAGGTAGTGCACTCCATGGGGATTCCCGCACTACGTCAGAGTGCAGTCTTGGATACTATAATGCAAGTCTATGGTACAGTCATGTAACTACAGACTCTTCTGTAATAGTTACAGGGATCGAAAAAGCAACCCCCCAAAAAACCCTTTTCATAATAATGTTCATTGCGTGATTAAAATTTTTTCTTCATCATTTTGCCTCATCTGGTTTAACTATTTAAATGACGCGTAAAGGTCATGATCGTTCCTTAGTCGGTTTTGATAGTCTAAGAAATTGTTGTTGAGATTTGATGTACTTAGACCCTTGCGTGTAGGTATGTTTGATCTGTCCCACAAAACAATCCTGTTAAAGAGCTTTGTATTCATACGGCCCCTGTAAGTCTATTTTTAGGTTTTTAGTACTGAGTCTGTCAAAATTCTTATTAGATTTCGTTATACTTGAGACTAAACTAGAAAATAAAAGCTAGTTTAAAAGTCACTCGTGCTCAAAAGGGATGAGTAGTTCCACGTCAAAGAGACCAATAAATTGAGCCTTGAACAATAACAATGTGACGAATGGTAACTAACGTTCGATTACTCGTGTTCAGTGACGTTTTTCCTGCCTTCAAACTCTAATGTTGCATTTCTCAGTCCTTGAACACATCCACAGCAGTGTCAAGTTGTTTCTGGCCCTATATATGACCTTAACGTATACTGGGATTGTTGTTATTGGTCGTTCTTTTGTACAGGATCTCAAACACTTGCATTTTTAAGACAAATCCTGTTCCTTTTCTATTATGCACACGGGAAACATTGTTTTTTAATCCTTCTCCGCGTCTATGTAATTTTTTTCTTTGGTTTTGCAAATCTTTTTGTCAACTGTGGGAGTCTGTTGTTGGTGTTTTAAAAAGATGACATCCTCATTAGACGCGTTGTAGGTTGAAGGTGATTTGGAAAGTGGCATTCTTTGTCCGTCGCCAGGACACCGAGCTGAAAGAATAATAATTATGTTTCAGGAAGAGGAAAATCCCCACTTTGATTCGAACCTTAAAATATCAGATTCATACCCTACCTACTAGACCACAGTAGGGGACTTGTTCACAGCTTACACTGTACCTACCAGTGTCTGTGCTGTAATGGTAAGGCTATTTGTTATTTGTCAGATGGAATGAGCTCAATTCCCACACGGGGATAACAATTCGTCTTGTACCTCTGTGTGTGGGCTGAAATGTTTCCAACTCAGCATGGGTTGACCCGAACAGGTAGGGTTGAAGCAATCCGTTTCTTTAGTAAGCTCAAATTTGGCGTGAAATGTGCCTTTACAGCCGACCCGCGTCTTGACTGTAATACTGAAGCTCATTGCCCTTGTCCGTGAAGGACGTGGTTTCGATCGATTCCCTTGTTGTGAAATCTATTTGATCGAGTTGGCGTATCTGCATCTGTCTGTTGGGATGTGGTATCACACACTGCCCGGGTGGCCCTGACAGGCAGGGTTAAAGGGGCGTGTCTCCTATGTTCTAAATTGTGCCAGGGGTGTCAAACATGTGCAGTTGCCTCTATAGCAAATTGTGAAGTTCCTTGCAATGCATGTATCTGCTGGTTGTGTGTAAATGTGATCGGCATGCGTTGTATGCATTTATTTGTGTGTTTGTGGTTGAATGTATAAGAGAATAGAGGAGTAGAGAAATACACAAAGACAAGTAGTAATATAAACGCATGCTGAGTAGGAGGGAGGGAGAGAGAGAGAGAGAGAGAGAGAGAGAGAGAGAGAGAGAGAGAGAGAGAGAAAGAGCGAGAGAGAGAGAGAGAGAAAGAGCGAGAGAGAAAGAGCGAGAGAGAGAGAAAAAGCGAGAGAGAGAGAGAGAGAGAAAGAGCGAGAGAGAGAGAGAGAGCGAGAGAGAGAGAGAGCGAGAGAGAGAGAGAGAGAGAGAGAGAGAGAGAGAATGTGTGTATGGGAAAAGCATTTTGCGAGTGTAATTTGTACGTGTGTAAATGTATTTTCAATGTGTGTATGGAGCATGATTAAGAGCCAGTGTTCAAATACAGTACCATCTTTTGTACAGTTTCATGATATTGCATATGTGACGCATTTAAGCATATTTAGAGAGGCACAAAAGTACTGATTTTTAAGTCTACCGACTATATGCCTTTTCATTATTACTTTTTTCTTTCCGAAAACAAGTATAGGAAATGTTATTTGTTTTATTGTCCAATTCACTCATTTGTCGTATTTTTTCCTTACGTAACGAAGACGAATGAAGTGGGATATTTTAATTTTTAACACTTCCTGAAGTTTTTGTTCACAATTTTAATTTTGTGTAATTACAGGATATTTAATTTGTTTGGGAAACTTATAAATGATTTGGAAGGCTTTATTTTCTTACTTTTTTTCCCCTTTTTGGTGTGCAAATGCATAATATGATAATGTGAAGGGTCATCCTTAAATTGTCCAGAAATTGTCATTTGAATAAACTCTCCCACGTGTGAGGTTTATTTTTCATTGTTTATTAAATGTCTAGAAACGTTGGTGAAAAATAATAAAACGTTTTGGAGTTGGGATAATTTTGTTGAAAAGCTTTTTCTAGCCAGCTGAATACTAATCATTTTCAAAACTTCACATGTTGTAGATATCTTTTCATTTTGTTTTTCCATTTTCTTTGCAATATTTATGTCCGACTGATGCCACACAATGCCATTTTGAAATAAATCTTTTCGCATGGAATTTCAGCCTTTGGCTGTCTGAGTGAATTTATCTTTCTTCTCGCCTACCCACTTTCTAAATTTGCTGTTACTCGGATTTTTTCTTAACTTTTTCACTTTTTGCTGGGTTTTTTTGGTCTGTCTGTCTGTCTGCCTCTCTGTCTGTCTGTCTGTTTGTCTGTATGTTTGTCTGTCTGTCTGTCTGTCTGTCTCACACACATACATTCATACATACATACACATATTGCACACGGCCACAACGCTCACAAACAAACGCACTCGTATACATACATACACACAGAATACAAACATATATACAAACATAAAACCTCACAAATCATACTCCTCCATCATACCCGTTTCTTTTTCTCTTCCTCGTCTTCCTTCTCCTCATCCACGACATTATTATCATCACCCTCATTCCCCTCGCCTCCTCCCCCTGTTCCGTTTCATCATCATCATCATCATTATCATCTTCAAATTCCCCTCCCTCCTACACCTCTGCCTCCTGTTCAGCCCCCCCCCTCCTCTTCCTCCATGCAGTTTGCAAAGGTCAAAAACAGAACAAAACAAAACAAAGCGACAGCATATAAAGCACGTGCCATCAGCAGGCAACTCTAACAAAACAACTGCTTATACAGAGAGACAACTTATCGCGGACACACACACACATACACACACACACACACACACTGGCATAAACACACACACACACACATACACCCACATAAACCACACACACTCATCACACATACACCACATACACCACACACAGACACGCACACACACACACACACACACACACACACACACACACACG